GGCAAGGTCGGGCCAGAGATGCCGGAGCCCTGTTACAGGGCCCCAGGACGGGCCAAGAGGTCCCCAAGAAGCCTCCAAGACGGTCCAAGAGGGCCCCGAGACGGCCAAAGATCGCCCGAAGACGCCCAACAGGGCCCCAAGACAGCCCAAGAGGCCTCCAAGACGCCCCAAGGGCCTTCCAAGAGGCCTCCGAAGAGGGCCCCAAGAGGCCAAAATCGTTGATTTTCATTGTTTTTTCCTATGTTTTTTGCGTTCTGGCTTTTTCGGCTTCCGGACGCTCCAAGACGGCCCAAGAGGCCCCCAAGACCGCTCCAAGACGGCCCACGAGGCTCCCAAGACGGCCCCGGAACGGCCCAGGAGGGCCCCCAAGACGGCCCAAGTGCCGCCCAAGACGGACCAAGAGGCCCCAAGACGGGCCCAAGAGGGGCTCAAGAGGGGAACCGAGAACTGAAAAATCGAGCCCTCCGCCCCAGAAGGCGCCCAGGAGGCCCCAAAAAGGCCCCAAGAGGCCCCCAAGAGGCCCCCAAGACGCCCCAAGAGGCGCCCAAGAGGCCCAAAACGGCCCCCAAGAGGCCCCAAAACTCGGCTAGCCCACAACGGTGCGACAATATGGGCCGGCGGCATGAGCGAAGCGATTAAATAATAAGATTCAGAGCCGTGTTATCAGTACGATGGTTACTATTACTATCATCATTACTACCAATAGGGATCGTCTTCCTCTCCCAATTATTCTTCTTAAAAGCATGATTCGTGTTCTTATGATTGTTATGATACTATTTTCCTATAACAATAAATATTGATTGTTTTCTTCTTCTTATGATTGCGGAAGAAGCCCTGACATTCTCGCGCCAGACGCTCGAGGCTCCAGCTTCTACTGCGTGTTCGCGGGTTCCCGGAAGCTTCGGGGTGCTCTTTCAAGCAACTGCGCGCGGTCGACGGCGTTCCGGGGGCGCCCGAGTCGTCCAGAACGGCCGCGGGAGACCCGAGTCCGGACCCGAGAACCAAGCCTCCTCGCGACGTGGCAAGATCGCGGCGGGAGCTGGGGCGGAGTTTCTGCCTCTGGGGGCCCTCGCCGGGCCCCGGGGCCATCAGAAAACGACTCGGGATGAAAGGCCAGTCCCCGGGGAGGGCTCCAGACCCTGAGATCCGACGTCTGGACAAAAATGCAGCATCGTAAAGTGAGCGTTTTCTGATTCGGCGTTTCGGCATTGGGCGGGGGGTCTGGCTCCGGACCCCTGCTTGCTGCGACTGTTTACAACCGTGCGGCCAATGGGGGAGGGACTCCACCTGCTCGAAACAGGTGCCAAAAATAGCCAAGACCTACTCCATGGGAGAGGAGGGGGGGTGCGAGGGCCCGCGCCGATCGGCAAAACAATGAATAAAAAACGATCATCAAAAACCCATCACCAGAGCCCAGGACCCGATCGCTCAGCGCCACTGTTCGAGCCAGATCGATCTGTGAGGGTCCTGGGGCCCGCGGCCGGGCGAAAACGCCCGTTGTGTGAAAAACACACAAAAAAACAAAACAACAAAACAACAAAAAAACGCCAGGATCTCAGGGGACAGGGGCGGGTGGCGCCAGGAGGACGAGGAGGAGGAGGAGGGGGGAAGAGGAGGAGAAGGAGGAGGAGGAGAAGGAGGAGGAGGAGGACGAAGAGGAGGAGGAGGACCAGTGTAAACCCAAGAGTCATCAACGATGTTGGAATTAACCCTCCCTCCAAGTTCCCTCTTCATAGGCCCCTACAACGGTTCACTTCCATTGAAAGAACTGCCTCGTTTGAAGACAACCGTTTGAATATTCCGAAACGTGCCAAAACATTGTTCTCGGGATTTCAACGCCACGTATCAACCTGACTGCTGCGACTGCTGCGTCTTAACGATTCGGAATCGTGCCACAGTGGCATTTTTGGGACTTTAACACAGCGAATCCACATTACTGCTGCACCCGCATAATCCTGAATCCTGCCAAAACACAATTTCTGGTACGCTGGTTATGGGAAACCGTGAAACTCTTACAAAAATTGAAAACCAATGCGCGAGGCGCTCAGGCGAGCGCCACATGTTTGAAAGGAACCGCCCTCCATCCGCAAAACTGTTGCAAATGATTAAAACAAATGTACACGGCGCTAAATCCAGAGCCACATTTTGAAAAGGAACCGCCCCCAATCCGTGAAACTCTTGCAAATGCTTTAAACGAATGTGCGCGGCGCTTAAACAAGAGCCAAATGTTGAAAAGGAACCACCCCCAATCCGCGAAACTCTTGCAAACTTTTAAAATGTGCGCGTCGCTCAGGCGAGAGCCACATTTTGAAAACCACCCGCCCCCAACCCGCAAAACTTTCGCAGATTCTGTTAACGAACGCGCGCGGCGCTAAGGCGAGAACCACAGTTTGAAAACCACCCGCCTTCAATCCGCGAAACTATTGCACATGTTTGAAACGAATGCGCGCGGCGAAGAAGCGAGGGCCACATTTTGAAAACCACCCGCCCTCCATCTGGGAAACTGTTGCCACTTTCGAAGCTTCAGAATCGTAAATGGTGAAGAAGTCTCAGGCAAAACGCTCAACCCGCCCTAAAAACTGGCCTCGGGATACGACAGGGAGAAATTAGCTATAAAGAAAAATGGAGGAAGAGCTGGAGGAGATGGAGAAAGGAGAAGAAGTGGAAGAGGGCGGGCGGATGATATGTTTCCCTCCTCCCCCTCCCCCTCCTCCTCCCCCTTCCAAGGATGTTTGAAGCGGCCCGAGGGCTGAAGTCCCCGTCGCAAGTCCGAGCTGAAAGTCATCCTCCTCCTCATCCTCCTCCTCCTCCTCCTCCTCCTCTTCCTTGTCCTCCTCCTCTTCCTCTTCTCCTCCTCCATCCTCCTCCTCCCTCCCTCCCTCCTCCTCCTCCTCCTCCTCCTCCTCCTCCACTTCCTCCTCCTCGTCCGTCCTCCTCCGCCTCCTCCTCACCTCCTCCTCCTCCTCCTCCTCCTCCTCCTCCTCCTCCTCCTCCTCCTCCTCCTCCCCCACTCCTTTTCCTTGACAACAACTTCTTCCTGTCCCACCCCGATGCCAGTGCGTAAGGCGGGCCGGGCGTTTTGCCTGAGACTTCCCCACCACGTTTGGGTCTGAAGGCATCAGTGTCAAAAACGGAGGGCGGGTCGTTTTCGAATGTGGCTCTCGCCTTAGCGCGGCGCACACTCGTGTCAAAAAAATGCAAGACCTTCACACAGTGAGAGCGGGTCGTTTCCAAAATGCGGCTCTCGCCTTAGCGCAGCTCACATTGGTTTCAAAAAAAAACTACAAGAGCTTCACGGATTGAGGGCGGGTGGTTTTCAACATGTGGCTATCGCTTTAGCGCGGCACACATTCGTGCCAAAAAACTGCAAGATAGGCACGGATTGAAGGCGGGTGGTGTTAAAAATGTGGCTCTCGCCTTATCGCAGCGCACGTTATATTACACAGTTTGCGCGAGTGCCACGGATTCCCATCATCAACGTACCGAAAATTCTGTTTTGACAGGACTCAGGATTACGAGGACGCAACGGTTACGTTGATACGCTGTGTTGAAGTCCCAGGAATGGCGTTCTGGCGCAATTCAGGACTGTCAAGACGCAACAGTCAGGTTGTTCCGTGGCGTTGAATATCCCGAGAACAATGTTTTGGCATGCGTCAAGGTCTTCTAACTGTTGTCTTCCAAAGAGGCAGTTCCCTCAATGGAAATGAACCGTTGTAAGGGACCTGCGAAGAAGGAGTCGGAGGGAGGGTTTATTCCAACATCGTTGATGGCACTTGGGTTTACACTGGTCCTCCTCCTCCACCTCCTCCTCGTCCTCCTTTTCCTCCATTCCTTTTCCATATAAATAACTTCTCCCTGTCGCACCCAGAAGCCAGTTTTTTGAGCGGGCCGGGCGTTTCCCCTAAGAGTTTCTCACCTTCTATGACTCTGTAGCTTAAGAATTGGCAACCGCTTCATGGATGAAGGGCGGGTCGTTTTCCAAATGTGGCTATCGCCTTAACGCGGCGCACATTCGTGCCAAAAACTTGCCAGGGATTCACGGATTGAGGGCGGGTGGTTTTCGAAATGTGGCTCTCACCTTCGCGCGGCGCACATTCGCTTGAAAGACTTGCAAGAGTTTCACGGATTGAGGGCGGGTCGTTTTCAACATGTGGCTCTCGCCTTAGCGCGGCGCACACTCGTGTCCAAAAATTGCAAGACCTTCACAAAGGATTGATTTCAAAAAAACTGCACGGATTGAGGGCGGCTCCTTTTCAAAATGTGGCTCTCGCCTTAGCGCCGCGCGCCTTCGTTTACAACATTTACAAGAGTTTCACGGATTCACATCATCAACGTACCAAAAACTATGTTTTGAAAGGATTCAAGATTATGCGGGTGCAACGGTTACGTTGATACGCTGTGTTGAAGTCCCAGGAATGGCGTTCAGGCACGATTCAGGATCATCAGCACGCAACAGTCAGGCTGATCCGTGGCCTTGGAATCCCGAGAACAAGGTTTTGGCATGCTTCAGGATCTTCAAACGATTACCTTCCAACGAGGCAGCTCCCTCAATGGAAATGAACCGGTGCAGTGGCCTCTAAATAGGAAGCTTGGAGGGATGGTTTTAACATTGTTGATGGCTCTTGGGTTTACGCTGATCCTCCTCCTCCTCCTTCTCCCCCTCCTCCTCCTCCTCCTCCACCAACGCCGCGACGACGACGCACACGGCCGCAGGAAGGAGAAGAGGGATACAGGTTCAAGGAGGCTTCTCACACTACTCCTCCCCTGGAGGCTGTTTTCGGAACCCGAGGGGGCCCTCAAGATCGATCTGGGGTGGAATTCTGGCCAGGATGTACCCCAGAAGCGGTCTGGGGGCCGATCTGGAGTGGATTCTGGGGTCTGGAGGAAGTTACCAGGAGGCAGAGGAGAAGGAGGAGGAGGAGGAGGAAGAAGAAGAGGAGGAGGAGGAGCAGCAGGAGGGGAAGGGAAAGCAGGACAAACAGGAGGGTCAAGACACGCAGGAGAGGAAGGAGAAGGAGAAGGACGAGGAAGAGGAGGAGGAACGGGAACAGGAACAGGAGAGGGAGGACCCAGGAGAAGGGATCGGCCCGCACAGGCTGGCAGAGGAGGCGCTGACCGCTCGAGGAGCACGGCACGCAGGCCGACTGCACTGCTCGAGGGACCGAAAATCTCTGCCGGGCAGGGCCTGACCGAAGGCGGCGATGATGCTCGGGACGAGGAGGGGGAGTACAGGGTGCTTCTGTTCGAGCGCGGAGGGCGGAGGGGGAGGGAGAGGAGGAGGAGGAGGAGGAGGAGGAGGAGGAGGAGGAGGAGGAGGAGGAGGAGGAGGAGGAGGAGGAGGAGGAGGAGGAGAGGAGGGGAGGAGAGGAGGAGGAAGAGAGGGAGAGGAGGGGGGGAGGAGGAGGAGAGTGGAGGGGGGGGAGAGCCTACGATGTAGGAGCGAATGATAAACGCATGGGCAGACGGAGACTGACGGCACCCAGGGACACACAGATAAATAGACACAGACAACAGGATTCCCCCGATGTTCTCATATGTTCTGTGCTTTTGTCTCCCCCCCCCCACACTTCCCATGTTTTCCCATATTTTCCTGGGGATCGAATTTTTATTGTGTCTGTGTTTTTTCCCTCCTGAAGACTATGGGGAATCTGAGTGGGGAGTTACCTCCAACAGGGACGAGCCGCCGCTGGGCGCGATCTCCACAGGAGCGCAAGCGAAACTGGCGCCTCTTCAGGCGCGCAGTTTTCTCGGCAGGGGGCAGCGGAGGAGGATGACCACGAGGACGAGGGGGGAGTGGCTACGACGATTGGTTGCGACAGTTGCTACTTCAACCATCCGCTGAAAATTGGACGGACGTGTCCAGGAAGACTCGCTGCCCCAGGCGTGCACGGAAAAAATGGCGGTGGGTTCGCATGACCTGTGACAGACTGCACCGCGTACCTCCGGGTGGATGAACTCGGTTGATCCAAAATTCAACAGAACTGTCGTGGCATGCGACATGGAAAGCAAGCGTCGCTGCTCCGGGGCAACGGGGCTCCCCTGGATGGAAAAGCTTGCCAAATTATGGAAGACTTAAAATTCGGCTGTGGGAGAGATCGGCGACTTCTCCAGGCCTGGCGTAGATCAGTGAACGACACCAGCGCCATGGTCAAATCGCTCGTGGAGCCAATTGCCCAAGAGGTGTTACGTCATCCGTCAGCAGGCTGGCGCATGACAACCGACCGTTTGAGAGTTGTGCGCAAAGCAAAAAGTTGCTTACAAGTTGCTGGCCACGACACTGAGGGCGTTTCTTCAGGCTGCTCGTTCTCTGAATCACCCTACCTTGGGACGCACAAAGACATACTAGTACTATATGTTCTCCTTGGAGGCGCGCGTCCGACCCAAACATATAGTATACCTATATTGTGGTAAATCGTTTCCCGAGCGGTGTGGCCAGAAAGCGCCAGCCACGACGCATATACTATGAGATTTCTCGGTGCGCGTATCGCCCCCCGGGGGGCGACGCACATACAGTATAAGTATGTTAGGGTGACGCCGATACCTGGCTCAGTCTCGGAGTGCACGTCCCCTCCGAGTCCGACTCCAGATCGTCCGACTCCAGCGCGGGCGCCTCGAACGGATCCAGCGTGCTCTGCGTGTCGGGCATGGCGGGGCCCTTCTTCGCGTCGAACAGCACCTGTGCGAGGCGGGAATGGATCCACATCCACCGCCTGGGAACCGACGTAGTGTGGCCCCAGCGGGCCGTGGCTGTGGACATATGTTGGTCCCCAGGGGCCTCCTCCTCCTCCTCCTCCTCCTCCTCCTCCGCCTCCTCCTCCTCCTCCCCCTGGCGGGCTCGGTGGCAACTCGTGGGAGCTTCCCATACCATCTTGTTGGCTCTTGCGAATCAAGGCTAGTCAACGCTAAATCGCCGCTCATCGCCGCTCATCGACGCTAACCGACGCTAAACTGGCGCTATCTCATGCACTCCTAGACGCTAATCGACGCTATCCGACGCTAAAGACAGGTTGAAGAGGACATACCAGGCTCCCATGATTTGCTACAAACCGAGGGCGGTGGTTATGGAGAAATCCCCACCGCAGAACCTGGAAGTACGAGTGGCCCAGAGCATCTCCTGCGCTGCAGCGCTGGCTCGGATCGCGCTGCAGAAGCCCCCTGCAGAAGCCCACACTGCCGCTCGGGTCCCCCGGCACGGGCTCCAAGAACCTGGGCGCAGGCACCCCCGCTCGGGTGGCCGCCTTCGCAGCCCTCGAGGTGATCCTCTCTGGAATGTACGGAAGCTCTCCGAAGAGCATGAAGTACGCCGCCACGCCGTAAGAGTAGACGTCGGTGGCGAGGCCGTGCTGCGCCGTCAGCATCTCGGGTGACATGAAGGGCGCGGTGCCGAACTCGCCCGCCACGCTGCCGTTCGGTGGCAGCAGGGCACACGAGCTGAAGTCGCAGAGCTTCACCGTGTTGCCGTCGGGGCAGATCAGGTAGTTGTCGGGCTTGACGTCGCGGTGCGCCACACGTGCCTGGTGGCAGGCCTCTGCAGGCAACATCCACAACCCAAGGACCCTGGATCGCAACATGAGCATGGCTCGCAAATGGCTCGCGGAGGGCATACGATAGAGTACATAGAGGCATATATACGTGTGTGTATATATACACAGATACTTGCGAGCAGGCACTTTGCGAGTAGTGGAACGCGCTCGGCGATTCTAGCAGCCCGGCATCACACAGCGGTCAGCCGACCCCCGCTTACCGCGGTGACAGGGCGTCTGAGACAAACGACTGGCCCCCTCCCCCTTCCCCTTCGCCTGGGATCGAAAATCTTCTCCGGGGGGGGGGGGGCTTGGGCGGGGGAGGGGGGAGAGCGGGGGGGGGGGGAGGCGCCCCCGGGAAGTCGCCGGCGCATCTCTGGGCCCTTCGGGAGCCTGCAAGTCCACTCGTCGCGGTTCCCAAGATGCCCATAAGCCCCCGGCTTTTGGCTCAAGAAGGGCTCCGACACGCCAGAGAGGCCTGAGGAGCATCCAAGCACCCAAGATGGCATCAAGACGGCCCAGCGAGCCTCAGGAGGGCGCCCCGAGATGAAAATCAATGATGTTCCTAAGGCTTGCTTTGTGGTTCGCGTGCCCGCCTCTTTCTGGCTTCTGCAAGCTCTGGGCGGTCCGCGCGAGGCCCTCCCAGGCTGGCCCGTCACGGCCCGAGAGGGCTCCAGGGAGGCCCAGAGGGCAGCCGAAGAGGCAACTCGGACTGCACGGAGGCCCCCACGACGGCCAAAAATGCCCTCGAGAGGGGGGAGCTCGCAGGGACCGCGGGGGCCCGTTCCCCATGGAGGTAACCCTGGGAACCCCAAGTAGGCCCAAGAGAAGCCCCCAGGAGCCCCGAAGAGAAGGCTCCTGCGTGGCCGCCCCCGAGGCCTCCGAGATGCCCCCAAGAAGCCCCGCAGCAAACGCGGAGCACGAGGAGGAAACATCAGCAACAGCTTGGACCTTGGACGAAAAATTTAATAAAAAAAATCCGAGCATGTGCAAGAATAGTCAAAAAATAATCCAAAAATCGTCCCCTGATTGTTTTTGACTCTGTTTGAATGGAACATTCCTCCTGTAGAGGGACACGCCCGACTTCAAACTGGACCCAGGCAGCACGACGGCAGGCTGCAAGCTGCACATACGAGATCGGGAGCCGTGCGCATCCTCTGCTGGGGGACGGCGGGATGGCGTAAGCCTCCTGCGTTGCGCAGCATAGCATAACACGTCATCTGCAACGGCGACGCAGGGGGCGGGTAGAGGAAGCGAGAAACCAGCAAACGACGGCGACGGTGCAGGCGAGCATCAGCGCAGCACTCCCCTGCATAATCGTTTCGAAGCCCGCGTCAAAGCAGCAGCGAGCGAAAAGCCTGCACTGGCTTGCAGTAAACAGCATAGGCGCTGGCGTCGTCGACAGCTTGGCATACTACTGGCACAACACCGCGCAGTGCAGCACTATGTTGCATACGTCGGCACGGCACAGCACAACATAGCACAGCATGACATAGCGCAGGCGCCCAAG